AAAATGAAAATTACTTTGCATGATAGATAGGCAACATGTGAAAAGAAAAAGGCATGAGAGAAACATTGTTTTACAAACCTTAAGACTTAATAAAAAATTAGATATTTTGCATATGAAAGCATTGCAATGTTTACTGATAATCTGCCAAATCTCGCTGACATTCGCTTACTAATTTAAAAGTTATAGCATGAAAACTATAACAAACACAAAATGGTTACGAGGTCAGTCCCAGGGACCGAGCCCGTGCTGAAAGAGTTAAAGGTGGGATATGGAAGGAAACAAAAATGAAGAAAAGAAAGAATATGCCCCATGAGCTGCCAAAATCGAGGGTAGGAAAAATTGATCAAGAACAAAAAGAGCTCATCAAACTGAAGCAGCTGAGAAAACCAGATCTGTGTTGGCCAGGAAGGAGCAATCAGAACGATCTGACATATAGGATGAATGAAATTACCCAAGGAAGATGGCAAATAGAATGAGAAAAAAAGAGGCATAAACATGTCCCAATCGTGTCTGAACACATCAAGAACCAAGGCAAGTGGATGAAGAACCAGAGACAAATACATACAGATCTGAAACAAGCTCGAAGGGCAAGGCACAAAACTAGTACCCAAACCCATGGTGAACAAACTTAAGACAGCACCATGGGTGATGAAAATTAGGAATGTAGGCATAAGAATACAAAACATTGACCATGGCCATCCTCGTTCCTGGAGAAAAAGCATACCACAGGGTGATAAAAAGACAATATAGGAAAAAGGGAAAGAACCAAGAAATGAATGAGGTGGAACAGATCAATCACAGACTTCCAATCTGCATTGAGAATACATGACTAATGGAGGAACTCTTTGATGTAGAACGCGTAAATGACAGGAATGTGCCAGACATGGAACATGAATAAATAATGCAATGGCCAAATAGACAAACGAGCAACCAAAAAAGAAAGATCTAATGTAGCAATATAGATACACCACACTATGCTAAAGTTAAAAAAATAACACCCCCCTCCCAAAAAATGGACCAGTGGAGGAAAAAAAGAGTCATCCATAAGTCCCAATTAGAAGTGGAAGGGAAACGAACATAGTACAAGACAGTGTCCCACTCCAGAATATCCTGAAAGCAAAGAAGTCACATTTATAAGGAAAGAGCCAAAGATGGCAATCACCCCAACATGAAGGTAAGGACGAGGAAAGTATCCTATGAAAATCCCCCAAAAATAGATGGAATGCCTTAGAAAGGAGGTGTATGGTGGCCAATACCAGTAGTAGAGGTGATAGGGGAAGACAATAGCCAAAAAATTTGGTTAGGAAAAAAGGGATAGGATTAACAGATTCTGCCACCCATACAGACAACAGAGATTCAAAGTGCAGAGATGCAAGAAAACAAAAACAATCTGCCTAATGGTAAGCTAAGGCAGAATGAACCAAAGCCCGTGGTAGGTAAAGCATGCCAGCACCATCTCTCAAAAGAGAGACAAAGAGGCCCAGCATCAACCATAATATCTGGAAAAGGAGGGGAAAAAACAACAACTATGAAATGTATAAAAAGGGCTGAGGTAGGCCTAGTAGACTCTGCAGTAGAGGCCTGAGAAGGCCAATTCAAAATCAGGAGGAAGAAAATTGTCAAAATAGACAAGTTTGGCAGTTTGAGGAGGAAGGCAAGCAATAGTGGGAGAAGGTTGGACAGACCCTGGACCAAGAGATCCTCAAAAATGAAATTAATTGTAATAAGCATAAAATATAATTAATTATGAAAATGAAAAAGTCATTACATTATAAAATTAAGTAAATGTATATTGACAATAAAAATATTAGTAGACAATATTTGTTAAAGAAGCAATATATTTAACCTAATTTACGATTTACCAGTAAGATGAATGAGACGTTACAAAGACATGTTAAACCTAAACTAACATTGTAGTACAAAAAGATATCACTAAACGTTAACTTAAAAAACCTAACCTTACAAGAAATAGGTACAAATCAACGTATGTTACTGAAACCAAATAACTACAAATAACAGTATTAATATCAAAATATTCAAAAAGCTATAACAGTATAACAGCATATCTGTCCAAAGTCAGCAGACCCAAATGTATGGGCCACCAAACTCCAAGCCCAATGAAGGTCAACTCATAGAAGAATCAATCTCTCAATGTATCAAAACTGACAATTCCTCCGTCAAGTACTGCCAACTGAAGCCTAGAGAGTTGTGCTGGAAGTAAATAATAACATTTTCAAAGTTGAAACATAAGCTTTGGTGAAAAAAAAAAAAAAGCTGAAGAACAATAAAAGTAAGTTATCCCTTAAAATAGGTAAAGTAGACAAAAAGAAAATATCTCCACTTCATATAAAATTTCAACAAAAAAAATCACTAGAATAGAGCACAAATAAAAAACGTCTTGACAATGGCACTGCCAAACAAGAAGAGATAATTTAGTAAGATCAAATACATGCATCAGGAGGGTGTGTCACACTCCTGTTGGTGGAAGCTTGTCGCATTATGATTTACATGCAAGAAACACTTG